TTCCAATTGATAGTTTTTTTTTTAAAAAGGAAAAATTGTGAAAAATTTAACTTTAAAAAAAATGGAAAAATTGTTATTAACAAAAAAAAAATTAACTTAATTATAAATGCTTACTTGGCATGATATAATTGGTTGATTTAAATCCTACGTGGACGTCTTTAGGAGCTTATAGCCTCAACTTTTATATATAACGAATAATCACAATTTCGATAAAAAAAAATTATTATCGAATCACAAAAAAAGAGTAGTTTCTATTTATCATAAGATAATAATGGAATATTACCATTAATTTGAGTATATCCGAAAATAAATGGTATGGTGCTAAAAACTAATGGGTTTTATTAATTTTTTTTAATAGGTTGATTTAAATCCTATAGGAAATAGGAAATCATGTATTATTTTTCAATTATTATCAACAAAAACAAAAATAACATAATTCTAAATATTTGACATGGCACATTACTATAGGTTGATTTAAATCCTATGTGGACGCCTTTAGGAGTTTATAGCCTCAACTTTTATATAGTATAGATGCATTAAAACATTTTTAATCTTATTGGCTGTAACAAGTTAAATTGGTTTAGTTGCCTATATGATACTTGATTTAGTTGCTTATATGATACTTAAGCTCACTACTTTTTTGGCCTATCAAAATTTTTATATTCTGCAGAATAATAATCGATTTAAAAATTTATTTTTACTGTCTAATATAAAGAATGATTGTGTGGTATTTATATACTAGGAGAAAGAGTTTTAGATTAATGAAAATATCATAAAATGTGAAAAGTTAACCAACATATAGTTAAAATGATGGTGGAACACCGGAACTCATGCACAATCATAAGAGACATGAGATTTTGACAAATGCATCAAATTTTTTCTACGGTCAACTGATGCAATGTTTGTTGATGGAAAATATTGTACATTACTATCTAAATTTGAGGTATAACACTATTAGAGATTGTTCAAAAAGAATTTATAGGCTCGATTGAAAATCGATTTTCCGTTTATACTATATTTTTATCTGTTGCAACCACTTGAAACAACGATAAGAACGATACAGTTGTGCTAATTTGAAGGTCATTTAGAGTAGTATTGGTCGAAATTTTATCCAATCTATGTTAAAATATATATTTTTATTTATAAATTCTCAAATATTATGAAGTAATTGTTGTTGTATTACTTCAAAAAGTTAGTTTTCAAAAATTTGTAAACATGAGTTAATTTTCAAATTACATAAAATTTTTGTATTATCAAACCAAACCTCTCCTATTCTTTAGTGATTTTCCG